AGACAGCGCCAGGACTGAGAGGAGAGATGATGCCACTGCAGTGCTCACCTAGCTCCAACCCTTGGGTGTAATGTGTTTGTCTTGCAGCAGGTCTGGCTGTACCAGTAAGTCCAGGAGGTAACAGTTCATGCTAAGCTTGTAATGATCTCTCTTATCATCTACAACCTGACTAAAAGCCTTTCTTCTACCAAATTCACTTTTCAAAATCATTGCAGTGTTTTTTGTAAAAATAGTATTTCCTGTCATTTTAAAGGTAAGATTTTCAATATCTCAGTAGCACAAAGCCTTGTTTCCCAAGTGCCAATTAGTCCCTTGAAATGTGGTGTTACGCCATGTCCAACAACAGCATGAGGTGGTGTATTTCACACCATGTTTCCTTCCGTGGCTCCAGCAGCGACCTGTGTGTCTGTCCCTGATCCTGTGCTGCCTGTTGGGTTGTGTGAGCACAGTTACACAAAGCTTTGCTGTGAGCTGACTTTGGGAAGTCAATCAGCAGATGCTTTTATCTTGCCCCTTGCCAAAGGAGAAGGTGATTCTGACTGGCTTTCCTGCTCTCTCAAACTCTGGCAGGTCATGAGCACTTCTGAAAACAGAATTCAAGCAATTCTTGAAAGAATTCAAAGTTCCCTGTCAGACCAGGGTCTGGAATGATACCATTTTGACAGTCCATATGTAGTAATTTGTGGAGCTTTAGGGCTGTTTTTATCCTTGGCACTCCAGATTTTCTGCAACAGCTAAATGGTGATTATCTTTGCAGGTATTTGACAGCCTCATGTGGTGTAAGTGATTGTAATGTGTGTCCTGGAGTTGTCTGTCAGTGTTTCCTCTGTCCAGGTGGAAGTTAATTGAGACAAAAACTGACACATTCAGAATGAAAGATGTCTGGATCACTGCTCTTCTTAACAGTTTGTTCATGGCAATAGAAGATTGGGAATGCAGTTGTTGTTTCTGAAGATACTGTGCTGTAGGTTTTGGTCTAATGAGAAAAAAAGCCACTTTTTTTTTCTTTTATATATTCCTAACTTGGCCACAGGACACTTCTCTCAGGAACTTAGATGTCATTACCCTGTTTACCATTGTTCTGTTGTCTTCTACCCCATGCTCCAAAGGAGAGCTCATTCTTAGGAAATCCTTGTACATCACTTACACTAACAAAAGTCCTAAACACAATGACCTTTGTGACTTTTTTGAACTCAACCTGCATAGCTGTTGAAAGCAAAACCCCAAGTCCTTCTCAGCTTCCGAGCTGTACACCCCTGACAAACTACCACTCTGATGAGCTCAACACAAATGTTATTAAGTGACAGGAACTTCTACTGAATTTACACCTCCAGTACTGCATGTAGAACTTGCTGAGTAAATAATAACCTGTCTCCATCTAGTTTTATACCTGTGAGGGGAAGGTGTAACACTGACTAGGGGAAACAGCGGGAATGGGCAGGGAGTCTTGACTTTTGAGGGAATGGTTTTTGGGGAGGTTTGGGTGTTTTGCTCTTTGGTTTTTAACTGTT